TTGTTATAGTCTTCACCACCATTCTGACTTATATTCTAAACCCACTCACTAGAATTGACTATTAATTGAGCTCTTTTCTGTCCTTCGTCATGGCAAATTCCTATGTGCAAAGTTGTTGAATAATTGCCAAAACATGCCTTATAAGGGAACACAAATGCAAAAATTCCAAAATAAATCAGAAGGGGTGGAACCTTCGTTTGCATAGTTGATGTCTTAAGGACGCTCAACTTTCACTTCGCCGTTATGACTCGCCCGCGATAGAAATGTTAATGGGATGTTTCAGTTCAAATTAATTTATCTCGGAAGTCCATTCAAAGGTAGGTTCTTGGAAATATCATGAGTACAGTAATTTTGTAGATTAATGAAATGCTACCCTTTTATCAAACTATCCGTAATTGCCTTTTCAAAGTAAGAAAAAATTGTAATTAACAGAGTAGAAGCAAATGCTTATTTCTCATTTCTTAAAAGGACGATAGGATCATCGCTTTTATTTCGCGAGACACGATGCTTACATCACCAGTTTGGTTTAATAGGGTAAAACACAATCTTTACTACAATTCTTGATCTGTAACTAGCAGTCAAATGTGTAGCATCGGAAAGAAGCTCTTATGCCTTTCGTGAATTGATCTCGAAAACTTAACTAGATAGAAGGCATGGATGTTGGAAAGATAGGGAAAAAACTGACTAAGTTCAATCATTCGAGACCTTTCCAAATTGTTATAAATTCTGATGAAAATTCAACAACTCAGTGCCTGTTTTTACCACAAAAACTGAATAGTAGCTGTTAAGCACATTAGGATAAAAAAATTTTCAGGCATTAGAAGGAAGGCTATTGCATCTTGGTAATGAAGTGCATCAGCCATGGTAGATTTGTCTGTTCCCTTTGGAAGTATTAGAGATGGTCTTTCATTTGAACCCTTTTTGCTTGTGCCTACCACCGAAGGATATATAACTCGAATTGTTGCGCAAATGTGCAAATAACAAATACACAATAAAATTATAAAAACATGAAGTCCACAAATTTAGATGATGATTTTGATGTCCTACGTCTTCATCTGAGCTTGAGAATTAACGGTATTGTCCTATCAAACATTGCACATAACAGCTGTTTAAGGGGAACAGTGCGCAGCGTTGGTAATGTTCTCCTTCTCCCTTCCTATGCATCTAAATGAAGCCAAGTCTTAGCGCCTATCCTGATTCCACAGCTGTCTTACTCGCAGCCATCAATCATCGTCGATCTATGCCTCACACTGTAGTGTTGCTAAGGCACCAGGATGATCGGTGATAGCGTGATAATCAGTAGACACGTCCATTATGCTCGAGGAGCCATTGTGACCGACCTAAACCACTTCCTCAAAGGGTACCATATTCTTAATTGTAAAAAAAGACTAGATTTGAGGGCCTACATTTTCGTGCCGGATGCCACTCAAGAGGGCAGACAACCCGATCCTGCAGCATGTGTAGATCGACTAGCTATTTAAACGACTTCAGAAGACGGCAAATTACAAAAATAAACGTTACTATAGTTTCGAGCCGTCAAAGGTGCTCTCAAATGATCTACTCATTGCGCTCCTCCAAATGTCACAGCTCAGCCAAAATCATGTCATTTAAATTTGTCCAGCGGTTTAAATAGCTCAAAAGATAGCTGATACAGCTGTGCTGAGCATTCTCGGCATTGTTTCGTTGTCCTGCATTCTTAGCATGGAAGCCCTTCTTGACATCTAATATTTTCATTACCAGCTGGAGTATCGGCTCCAATACAAAGAGCAGCTGATTGCAAGTCGTCAGTCTTTCATTTTCGGCGTCCAATTGTACTTTAAGTTCTTATTTGTACCCTCATCTGTTACAGCGTGGTTAAAGACTTACAACCACAACTTTTTAGAGTGACGTCGTATAATTTGGCAGTTTCCAGAGTAGCAGTGGTGATATTCTTCTCATTGACTGAAACAACGAAGCGGGAGGCAAGATTCGTTTCCTTAAGTAAGGAAATTAGGTCTTTAAGAGGAATAACTTTTCGTCTCGCCTCCAGAACAGCTATATTGGTTGCAGCATTAACGACCTGTTTATGGGGCGATTAGAGTTACCTAGAGAAAAGAGAAACTTGTATATTCTAAGAACACAATTTCTGCAAAACATGGGTAAGGTTGTTTTTGCCACTCTACGAGAAGATAGATAAAAACCGCACCAAAATGAGTTTGCCTCCACAACAAAGCTGGAATTTGCTTCTTATTTTATCAGGAATTGTGCACATTAGGGCATTCTCATCTTTCATTGAAACTAGCATCTCCTTGTCAAGCCAACTAGAGGGATGGAGGCTCTATTACGTAGTGTCCGAAGTGAGCGGCTTCGCATTCAACCGCCCCACCAACAAATAATTCACATTTTCGAATTCCGTGAAGCGTTAGGGAGCAAAATAAAGTGTAATAAATTATATGGCGTCATGGCTGGATCATCTGGCAAGTTCTTATGTTGTATTTTTTTGTACTTGTAGCAGAAGGACTAAGTATAGTGGTTTTTCGTCCAGTCCAGCAGGTATATTCTCGGCCACAAAGCAAAAACTGGTAGCCAGTAAGAGCAGTCTTTTCTAGTGACAGTAAGAAAACACTGATAACCCCTAGGACCAGCTAAAAAACCAAAACAACACTTAGGTAAAAAACGCACTCTGCATCAGTGTTTGATTAAATTAGTCAAATTTGACCAGCCAGGCGCAAGCTTTACAGAAACTCCAAATCAAGCCAGCTCCACTGATCCATAGCCAAACTTTCATGATAATCTCTATTTGACACATGCATGTAGATAATAAATCAAAAATCATTTTTATTAACACGGACTATTCACCGTGTTGACTGACAGCACTCACACATAGCCCACCCATTTATATAAAAGGCAAAATTCAACTGCAGGTTATTCGACACATATAAAAAAGAACTTAATAATTTGTCACCAAATACGCCTTTGTTCTAAAAGCTTTAACTTATTTATCTCGGGTATAGCTTACAAGTTTTGTATATTGTAAAGTAGTAAAAAACTGTTTTTAGAGAACTAGTACTATTCCCTTTTTATAGTAAATTAGTTTTATTTTTGCAAGAAGTCGTAATTCAGTAACTACGTTGCCTGATCTATCCAGCTGTATTATTTATAGGCTATTATCGAGTCCTGTTGTACTTAATCTACAGATGAGTTGTCTCTCCAATTTTTATGCAAACAACAAGCAACTGCATTGAGTGTATTATTTTAAGTACAATTCTTACATGGTATGCCTTCTCTGAAAGCGCAATAATGAGAAGCAGTGTGGAAAAGCATAAATTGCGCATGAGTATGAGCCGAAGTTTATTCCACAAAGCTCAGATGATAAAGGGGTCGCCTACTTGAGCGTGCTTTTGATCAAAACGTCAAATCACCTCAACATTAAATAGGCAGCCATAATGTGGGCACGAGAACCTCTTGAAAATTGCTTTTGTCGAATGTATTCACTTATCTATGTATAAGGCAGTTATTTTTAAGTTGGCGCATTGAATCCAAAGTTTGCAGTTCTAATATAGGGGAATGCCCACTTAACCAAACCTATGGACTTCCAAACTTCCTGCACGTCAAAAGCACTGCAATGAGATGGCCGTTCGGCTAACTGCCAGGTTAGCTAGAGGGACCACTTAAGTGCCCTACAACTGTATCTCAGCCAAGTGGCCTAGACCTCAGGCTACGCCAGCAGCCCTGATCCCGCTGTATGTCTACAGGTTAAGTCCCCCTATTTAATCACCTGTGATAAAAGTAGTCCGTAAATAACCAGCCACTTTCCTAATTTCCTCATCTACCGCTTTAACAAGCGTTTTTGGACTCAAGAAATTGTCTGCAACAGCGCCAAATTCATGCCTAATTTTTCCCAAATACAAACGAAAGCTTCGGCTGTGCAACTTAGGAATAACGAAAAATGTATTTTGCAACTCAAAT